TCGACATATAGGTGTAAAGGGGGAAACTTTGAATTGACAAGTTAATGATACACATTTTTGGACTAACTGGAGAGAGAACAGTAGCTATTAACGCTTCAAGTATGATTTCAAATCAAAACATTTATTTATAATTTGACCCTACAATTATCGGCGTTGTTTATATTGACACAATTGCTCTTGTAAACATTTATCTAAATTTTTACGCACGGAACTCCTTTTGGGCCCATAATATAAGAGTCAAGAAGAAAAAGTCCCCGCGGATAGCCCACTGTGTAGCTTTGTGTTTAATTACAAACAAATCCTCTGTATATAATTATTACTCCATAAGATGAAATAGGTAGAATAGGTATTTCAGTGTTGGAGAAGCTAGCAGTTTGAGAAACAAACCACCTAAGTTTTATACCTCAAATATCAAAGCATGTTCCTTTGGAAACTATTTGATTTTTGTAGCTGTATCAGTATGAAAACTGGATACGATTTATTTTCAACTTTTATGTGAAACGTTTTATTTCGTGTTTTTAAGCTTTTACTCTTTTCTATTACCTGTAAGTGAATTTGTTAGAAACTACAGTTTGAACTAATGCTGTTTTGGAAACTAGAATTATATCTTAAGGATGTTACGTCACGAAACCGAAAAAAAAAAACAATCAATTTGTGATCTAAATAATCAGCTTTTGTTTTATAAAAACTGTTTGTTTTTAAACTATGATGTATGTGGGAAAGTCTTCTAAAAATATAATGGGAATAATGCAGTTATGGGTTTACACAAAATAATATAAAAACGCCAATAAATAACTGAAACGTAAATGTTTATTATGGCATTAAAGTTGCCTAATTTTTTATTGTCTATTTGAATTTCAAAACTTAAGACTGATTACACAGACCTGCGAATTTAAAACTTTATAAAAGTTGTTTTGGTTTTAATAACGGATTTTCCATAATTTAGCTACGTAGATTTCGAAAATAATATTCATTTTTTCTATCACGTAAAGTTTTAACAAATCGGGAGGAAGATAAAACTCTTACTTAGATCAAGTTATTATTTCGTTTACCACAATGAACATTTTTTATTGTTATGTTTGAGTTCTAGAACGATTGATAAGACTCACGTCGCGATTGTTCTAGAGAAATCTATAGCCAGTGGTTGT